CCCCCTCCTTGTCCTGACTTCCCCTCTTTCCTCATGAATATTTCAATTCTATTGAAATTCCTTAAGGTCACCTGTTAAGGAAAAAGGAGGATAAGGATGAAAGGAAAAGAGAAAGGGCAGTCTCATTGCTTTACCTTGTGATGAGGGTTGTGGAAGGAGATGTTAGTGGTTGATTTGCATATGAACCTAAATTCTTTTTTTTTTTTTTTGGTATCTTTTTTTAAAGCCCAGCTGGCGAGAGCCACCTCCTTGTACCCCACTGGCTACCTCCAGAGGCACTACCCAGTTGCCAGTTTCCATTCACCACCCACCTCCCTACATCCCAGCAACAGCTCGGGGCCCAGCCACTGACATGGATTTCTTTCTCCCCTGGGTCTCACAGCCTCCTTTTTAAGTCCTGACTTCAAAATTTTTTTGCTTCATCTTTTAGTCTCCCTTGTTCAAGGGGGACTGGTCAAAGACTCTTCCTTGGCCTCTACTGTGCCTCTATTTTTTCCTAAACCAAGATTCTTGGGCCTGGAATAGAAAGTAGTGTTCCAACTATGCAGTTCTTGTAGAAGCCCTGGATTTGTCTGAGGGCTGTGCTTCAGAAGGGTCCAGGTGTATCAATTATGCTGCCCATGCCTGTAGGCCGCCTCTTCAATCACTTGTGTCCTCTTGTTTGTGAAGCACAAAAGAGTGTGCTTTCAGAAGGAGTCTTTTGTATTCCTAGAGTCTAAAAATATTTGCATGTAAATGTTGGGAATCCAGACAGTCTCCTTGAGATCTACACTTCTCATGGGGGGCATACAGCTAATTGGGGCACATTTAAAAATAAACTTGCACTGCTGCACCTTGGGTCCCTGCCCCATAGCACTGCACTGACATCTGAGGAGGAGAGAGTGTGACACTGATCGAGGCAAAGCATAAATAACCACATTTCAAAATGAATACTAATTGCATAATGACAGTTTCCAAACTATTAGCCTACTTTACAAAAAAAGTTAATTCAACACAAGCCCAGAGCTGGCTGTTGCTTATGTGTTGTGCTGCCAGTTGGCAGGCATGGCTTTGCAAGGGGATTGGGGGAAATGAGAGTTATTGTAGTGGAAGCACACTCGGCCTTTTGTGAGGAGGGTACAAATTGCATCACTCTCTCAAGCCCCTGCTGTTCAGTGTTCAAGAGTGGACACCAGGATACTGTATGCCTTCAGGGGAAGTTGCTTACTTTTCCTGGAGGTAAAATGGCCCAGTGCCTAGGCTTGGGGCAGAGTCTTGAGTTTGCAACCCTTTAAAGGAAAGAGTTCTGGGCAGGGTGGAGGTGATAAGCACTGAGGAGCTGAACCTGGGCTGGTATACACTCCTCCTAGCTGGGTGATCCCGGGCCCAGGGAAGGGCATGGCCTCCCAGACGCTGGCCTTCTTTGGGATGAACTCTGCATGCTCTTGGGCAGGCCACTCCACTGTTCTGGGTCTGCATTCCCTCATCTGTGAAAGGAAGGGAGTGGACTGGATGACTGTAAAAACTCTTTCAGTTCAGAAAGAATACCAGGTCTCTTCCTGTAAGCTGGGTATCCCTCAGAAGAAGAAAGTCACTTTGCCTGGAAGGACCCGTTGCCGTTGAGTCAATTCCAACTCATAGCGAACCTACAGGACAGAGTAGAACTGCCCCATAGGGTTTCCAAGGAGTGGCTGATGGATTCAAACTGCCAAACTTTTAATTAGCAGCCGAGCTCTTAACCACTGTGCCACCAGGGATCCTTGCCTGGAAGAGTGGCATGAAACTATGGGACAGGTTTCCTGCCATCACCAACCTTGTACCGCAGGATGCATGAATGTTTGTTTCACTTGTCAAATTAAGGTGATCTGTGTGAGGGTATTGCAAAGGAAAATGAGAAAATACCTGCTAAGAAAGAGGAGCTGTCTGAGGCAAGGATTCGCTCTCTTTTGTACCCCTTACCATCTTATCGGGTGAGAGTGTTAGGAAAGTCTCAAATGAATCTCCAAATAAAAATAATTTCATGCAGCATTCTTAGGATGAGGTGTATGTGGTGCGGGTTATGTTATGATAACAATTGCCTTCAGAGGGTGTCCACTCAAGGTTTAAGAAGCCCAGGCAAGCTCTATGTACTACTTTTTACTACCTTCCTCATCTCCATCATTAGGACATTCTGAGCTATGAGAATTCAAATGAGACAAAGTTGGATTTACCAATCAGGAAATTCAGTGAAGAACTCTATTTAAGTACCAGGATTCTACTTCCAGGTTATCAATATTTCCTAGAGTAGTCACGCCAGCAACAAATGACTGCGTGGAGAAACAGTACATTCATATGTGCTCAGAGTGTGCCCAACTTTAGGTACAACACCCCATGATCAGAATTCAGGTAAATGTCTTATTGTTCTTTTGAAGACAACTCACAACAAACCCTGTTCCCCTACTTTGTAAATACTTATATTAACTCTTTATTTAAAAAGTCACTTTTGACACTTATCTCCAGGGAGACCCTTGTATTCTGAGCTAAAGAATTGTTTGTAGTCCCTTTCTTCTCCTGTCTTTCTTTTCTAAGTACTTGTAGTCAGAATAATGGCTTGGAATTTTGACTCTCAAACACTTACATGTTAGATTGGTAATGTTCTAATTACATTATATTTGTTTGAAACAAGGTCCAGGTTACATAAATCTAGTTTTAATCAAAAAACATTCTTTCCCCACAAATAGCTCATACCTTCTCCCTGCTTATTTTGACCATGAAAGTAATATTGTGGAAACTCTTTGGCCTATGTTCCTAAATGTGAAACAACTTTAGAAAGCAAGAGCATGTCCAAAATTATTAGATTACGGTAAAGTGCTGAAGCTACTGTACTCCTCCTGAGATTGTGTTTATGACTTTGCAGCCAAAACTAACATCTACAAAAACCACCTATCTTGAATGAACTTATTTGTTGATAGCCAGTTTCTATACAATTTTTTAATAAATCAAAGTAATCTCCTTATATTAAAATAATTAATTTTTGACGTATGCCTTAAGGAGTATTTGAAATGTACTTTAAGAAAAATGTTGTGAGATTACTTTCTGAAGACTGAGGGGACATTATTATCTGCAGCAATGTTTTGCATATTTCCTCCGTCCCCATTCTACCACCCTACCTTAATTTATCCGGCCCCCGGAAAAAGTAGATATGATTAAAAATAGTATATATGACTTTTCAAGATCCCATCCACTTACGGGAAAGGGTATTCACTTTTGTGTTTCTTCCAGGAAGCCCGAGATGAAAAAATGTTCTCTGTTGGTGTGTCTCAGGCTGGATATGAGAGTTAACTGTGGGATTTGTGCTGAGTACTGTTCGGCTTTGAGTTCAGGGTGGCAAGGCTGGACAGGGTCCTGGAGCTTTCACTTGCACAGCCCCTGTAGTTCCAAGAGAATTTAAAGAATTGAGGAGCCTGATGTTTAACAAGAAGGAAAGGGGTCAACACCAGGAAATGATGTTTTGGTTTCAAAATCATCTGGTGAGAATGGCAATGGGCACACAGGAGTGCATATTGGGAATTTCCTCTCTCTCAACAAGGGGTACGACCTCCAGGGTAGGGATGTCCTCCTTCTTTCTGTAGAAGTCTCACATTAGATGCTATCCCTTTGCTGATGTTTGCCAACCATATGTGTGAAAGCGAAAGGAAAGAAATGTATTGGACAACACTGCAAAAAAAGTACATGCTTTCCCAAGAAAACGGCCTCCCTTCAAACTGGTAACATTCTCTGCTATGAAACTGGTCTTTAATACCTGTTTGCCATTCTCTTCTCTCCTCCTCCTCTAGGAAATTCTGGTGTAACCATGCCACCCTTATCTGAAGCCACTGCAATCATTTTGTAATAAGATCGTGTTCATAAAATTACTGTATGTTGCTAGAGACTGCTCAAAAGCAAAGGTTATAATAAAAAGAACTTAATGCTTTAAAACAAGTGAAAGTGGGCCTGGCCCCTCTGCCACTGCCCCCCCCCCCATTTTTTTGATGTTTTCTAGCCTGGCAGTTTCATATGATGACAGCGTGAACAAAACAAAGGTCTGACAGCTGCTTTTCAATGAGTGATTATTCTGGAATATTGCTCAGGCGACCATCTCTTGCTTCCAGCAGCACTAAACCAAAAGGTTCTCTTTCAGTGTGTAATCAGCAGGAACTGGAGTTCTCTCAAGGATTTTGAAGGTGACAACATACACTTGAGCTCGGGAAGATACAATAACATGCTCTCTTGGACTGGGGCGGGAAGGGGAGAGAAGACTTTCTGGCCTTGATGGAGTCTCTTTTGTTTCCTTTGAAGCAGCAGGATCTTTGGGCCAGAATGGCTTGTTTCTCTGTATCTTCCACAAAAGGGAGGCCAGTGAACATCATTTGGAGGACCAGGTGAAGGTTTGGCTGCTACCTTCCCATAAAGCCCTGTGAGTAGCCTCTTAAGAAGTTTCCCTTTGTGCTCAGGGTTGTGCCTGAGCACATCAGCATGAATGGAGCTTGGCTCTCGCTTGAAACACACTCACTAGGGACTCACCCTGCCCCATTTTGCACATGTCTATAGTCCCAAGGGGGCAGGGTGGGAAGGGGGACAGGGAGGGAAGAGGACGTTTGGGTCAGTGTAAACCCGCCATGGGCAGGTGGAAAACTAGCGATGTGCACGGCCTATTGATGGTGACTCAGGGATTACCCTACGAAAGGAAGCCTCCTTGCCATTTTGTCTGAATGGCATTCCCTTAGCAATTCCCATCCACACCTTCTTAACCCTGTTTGGCACACAAGAACAAATACATTGAGCATTCATATCTTTATTCAAAATACACAAACGTGTCCTACAAAAATAAACTGGGCACTAACTTTGTTCATTTAACAGGCGTTTGGTGAATTACTTGTGATGTTGTGCTAGGCACAATTTGCATCTGGCAGAAAAATGCTTTGGAAAAACTGTCATGGAGACCATGCCTTAGAAAATAAGACCTGCAAATTGACCATTGATGACAGGGGCCCATGCCACGCCTACATGGGCCAGGCCAAAGGTAGGCACAGGCTGCATGGCTGGCATAGGAATCCCAGGTGGCACGGTGGCCCAGGCGGCATAGGTCGTCCAACTGGCTGTGGAACCAGAGGAACATATCTCCAAGCAGGCTCCAGAACAGGGATGGCATTATAGGGCCCATTCAACATGACCCCCACAGGGGGGACCAGGGCGACGGGAGGTATACTTCTGAACATTAGAGCCCTCTGATATCTCCTCCACTTGGCCCTTCTGTTCTGAAACCAAACCTTCAATCAGAGGGAAAAAAGAGATTGGTTTAGTATATTGAACAGTTAATGTCATAATAGAAAAAAAAATATGCAACTCTATATGCCATTGAGATTTTAAACTCCAACAGGAGAAGGTATTTCCTGATTGCTAAAATATTTTAGGAAAGTTAACACTGCACCCCCCCCTTCATGTAACCCTTAACGAGCCAAGCCTAGTCCAGAACTTGGCATATTGTTTTGTCTCTTTCCTTCCACTTTTAATATTTTTTTTCCAGGTTGTGAATCATGTCTAGCTGACAAATTGTACCAGCTCCCTGCTATTAATTCTCATGCCTGGTAACAGGAAGTCCTGGTGGCACAATAGTTAAGAGCCTGACTGCTAACCAAAAGGTTGGCAGTTCAAATCCACCATCTGCTCCTTGGAAAACCTATGGGGTAGTTCTACTCTGTCCTGTAGGGTCGCTATGAGTTGCAACAGGCTTTTTTTTTTTTTTTTTGGTAATAGGGTAAAGAAATGTCAGTATCCTGACAGCTGCCTCCATCCCCTCCTCACGGGGGATGGTGTAACCCTGGTTATGGAGGAGGCTGAGCATGGTAAAAAGTGGGTCCCATGTAAAGTCATATGGAGAGGAACGGCCCCATATTTGAAAAGTTCAAGCTGCAAAGTGAGACAAAGGGACTCCTCTCCTGCATGATGCCTCGTCTTCTCTCCCCCATCGTAGGATTTGGGGTCCTTCTGCTGCATGAATATATAGTCTAAAGGAGGCCACTGTAACAGAGGTCATTTTGGAGGGATTCAAGTATACCAGTGGTCAAATCTCCCGAAACATAATCAAGGACCACAGCTGGCTAACTGTTCTATGTGCCAATGTTGTTGTTATCTGCTGATGAGTTGGCTCCAACTCATGTAATGTATAGATATTAGGTCCGTATTTCCAATGCTGGTTTCATAAAACAGGTCTATATTTGCAAAAGAGTGGGGGAAGCATCTTAAAAGTTTCTTGGGGGAAATTCATGCTGTAGAGTTTTGAAATAGATGAGAATGTTGTCCCCCCTCCCTTATTTCTGTCTTGTGGCTCATTTCCCCTTCAGAAATCCATCCAGAAAGCACTGTGTAAACCCAGGGAGGGGGAAAGGCAACTCACCAAACCTTAAGTTCTTCTTTGAGTTTGCCTTGCCTACCTGAGAAAGTGAAGTCTCGTCCACCCAACCCAAGGCCAGGCCTGTTAGTCACGCCTGTGGCATTGGGAGGGAGGCCAGCAATCAATAGCTTGCTTTTCGGGGTGCTTTTCTGGACATCACCCCACCAGATTTGCAGCCTGCTTCCATCACTGCACTCACACACACACTCTGGAGCAAAGCTAATCAGCCCATCCTGATTTTTTTTGGGGGGGGGGCAAATACTTTTTTGATGCAACTTATAATTTTCTATGATCTCCAAATAGTCATGTTTTGATCCCATGACCTACAAATTAGTCTGACTAAGTGAAAAAAAGTATCTCAAATTAACACAGGTAAGAATCTGGCCTGAACTGAGAGAACCTCTCTAACCAAGCAAATCCCACTTATTCAAAATGATACAACCAAAAAGGGGGAAAAACTACGTTAGAAATTGCTCAAGAGCATATTCACTTACGCATTTGGTAGTTCCATAAAGTTGAATTTGTGTGGCATCTGCAATGCATATGTTTGACTGTATATAATTCTTCTCTAACCTTCTAACCCTTCTTAGGTTAGTGAAACTTAATTCAAAAGTGTTCTTTTTAGACAAATTTCCGAAGCTCGAAAACTTGCCTCCATTACCACCATAATGTGACTATTTTAGCAATACTTCCAGCCTGACACATCAAAGTAGTCTAGAAAAATAAAACTTAGGGCTGCTACTCTCTACACTGCTTTACAAAACACTTAGAAATAACAGCAGGAGGACCAGACACTTGGACTTTTGAGCCATCTACCCCCTTCAGTCTCAGTTTAACTAAACATATGTTACTCATGTACTGTGTTCTGTGTGTGAATCATTCCCTCACCCCAATGTCTAAATATTTATAAATTCACTCATTTAGCTAAGAGCTTATGCCTGGTTTTAAATACTTTATATAATTTAATACATTGAGCCTTCTTATAACCCAGCTCTTCAGTGCATTAATTTTAATACTTCCCAGGTTAGATTGAGCCTCAACATGACTCCACATAGAATATTCCTTTAGGGAGGACTATCATATAGTCCTCCCTAAAGGATACCAGTGTTAAGAGTTGAACTTTATTTATTGGAATATATATACATATATATACGTGTGTATGTGTGTATATATATATACACAAAATATACAGTAAAACCTGCAAAAGCCAGAACCTGTGTAAGATGTAAACCTGTTAGAGAAGGAAAACAAATACTTTCCACTAAAGAGAGAAACAGAGAAGTGGTAAGACTGTACCCTGTCAAAGGTGGAAAACTTGCGAGACCCAGAAAAACAAGGCAGTCCTGTCGAGTTCCAGCTCTCATAGGTTTTACAATACACTACATATGCTATATATAATAATATGTATATAATATATATATAAGGAAAAGTTCTATTTTTTTTCCCTTTAGGAAATCATGCTTCCTCTGGCAATGGACAATTTCCATAAGCTCCAGTTTACTTATCCCATTTTCCACCCCCAAAGCTCCCAATGTTCAAAACTTATTTGCCTAACATGGAAAAGACAACACAAACACACCAACTTGAGAATGTCCAGGACAAAACTATCCAAGTCCTAAAGCATGTTTTAGAACGGCTGCACTGCCTAAATGGCGTTTTCAAGATTTACTGACCTGCACTCTGGCTTCAGTCAAATCCAGGCGTCTTGCAATTTCCTCTCTGAGGGGGGAATTGCAAATGTTCAGTATTTGGAATAGTGGATGAAATGAAATATATGACTGCACATTTCTTGCTTGTTTTAAATTTTCCAACCCCCCCAACTCCGCCCCAGTACAGTTTTCTGTAATACAGCTTAAGACTTGCTTTAGGGAGTGTCTTCCCATGGACAACTTATCTGTTAAACAAGACAGGAAAAAGGAATATATGTGAAAGCGCCTGCAAGTGTGTTGGTTAGCTGAATATGGCTCAATCAATTTTTGTTTGTGGAACAGCAGAGAACAACCCTGGAAATCTTGGGAGGTCCCTCCGTGAAAATAAATAAAACGCCGAAACACCTTTAAAGCGGTGTTTTGAACCAGAGTATTTCTGTTTATTGTAAAAGAGTGAGGTGAACTCTCAAGTTGGGAGCTCCAAATAACATCCACCAAGCGCCAAAATGATTTTTTTTTTTTTTACTTTCTGGCGGGCGAAGACTGACTACAATGGAAATCAAACCCCACACCGACCCGTCCTGGTCCTCCATTCCAGCCGGGTCAGAATAAGCCTGCCCCTTTGTACACGACGCGGATACGGACCACAAGAGCTCCTGGGAAGGCAAGGGAAGGGAAAGGGCCACCCTTGGTCTTTGAAAAGTTCAAGCTCCGCCACTTAGTTGGAAAACAGCGCTGCAGGTGGCAGGGCGGGGGAATAGAGCGAGGCGAATGCAGCACTCACCTCGCGCGCAAAATTTAAAAGGGCGCTAACAAACTTAGTAATCAAAATAAATAATATTTTAATGCAATATTTAAAAATATAAAAACGACGTAAGAAATCTACGAAGAACAAATTATCAAAATTTTATACAGAGACAAGATCCTACCTGTCTCACTCGACTCACTAGTACCGCCCCTGTTTCACAGCCACGAAAGCCGCGTAGGCACCGTCCCAACCGTTGAGTTCAAGGGCGGGCTCTGGCGTCCTTAAGCTCTTTAAGGGGCTTTTGGCTCAGGAGGGGGAAGGGCGCCCCGAGACAAGCCCCAGCCCCCTGGAGAAACGGGCGCCTCGCGAACAAGCCTCTTACCGCGCGAACACGTCGGGGTATTGAGTGTGTTGGAAAACGTTCTCCAGCTCATGCAGCTGCAACAGGGTGAAGGCGGTGCGGTAGCGCCGCTGCCCCCGCTCTCTGGGCTGTGGCCCCTCCGCGGCCGGGTGGGCCGGCTCCTCCTGCTGTTGCTCGGGCTCGTGACGGTGGCCGCCACCGTCCTCCTGGGTGTCGTCGTCCAGGGGGCCGGCAGGTCCAGCGCCAGCATAATCGTCGTCTTCTGCGGCTGCTGCTCCGTGCTCAGATTCGGAACGTGTGATCTCGTCTCTTCCAGGTAGAATCATCGAGGTCACGGTAGGGTTCGAATCTGGGGAAGGAGGGAAGCAAAGAGACCAAGGCGTTGTAGCCCACGGAGCGTGGGCGGGAGGCGAGGGGCCGCAACGGAAGAGCAGCGGTGGTGGCCGCGCAACGTCCCCTCCACTCGCTTCTCCCAGGGAAAATTCATTTTCTGGGGTTCGCGAAGCACCTGTCCCCGTCCAGGCACTGACCATCCGGTTCTTCCCCGTCCTTGCCAACTCCCAGGCTGCAGTAGCCGATGTCATAGTGGCTGCGGTCGGGCTGAGGCTCCATCCTCTGAGTGCTGTCGATGAAGCGGTGCGCCTCCGCACACTGTACCGACGTCTGCGGTGATCCCCTGGTCGGGGCTAGAGGTGGGGCCAGTGGCCGGGTCGGCGGCTCTTCTGGCGCCGGGACCTCTTTCTGGCGCCGGGACCTCTTTCTGGCGCGGGGCCCCGCGCTTGCGCTTCTTATATATGCCTTCCGCAGGTTCAAAGCCTACGTGCTCCAATCGGTTAGACGTCCGCTGTTAGCGTTCACTTTACATCTAGTTGGCTGGGGTGAGACCTGCTGGGGGCGCGCACGCGGCCGGGGCGTGTAAATAAAATAGGGCGAGTGGGTGTGAGAGTGGTGCTGCTATTGGGCATGCTTGTGTGATGAACTGCGGCTTTAATTTGCAGTTTGACTAGTCTTAATTCCAGCGGCGTGCCTGATTAGGGGAAGGGTCTGTGCCGGATTGTAAAAGCCGATTAGGGTGTGTGTCGGGGGTGGGGGGCGGGGGGCGGACGAGTCCCCACACTAGCTGCTGGAGCCCTTGGAGAAATGTTTGGCGAATATTCCTCCGCCCAGCCCTCGGTTTTCCTCAGCCCGCGCATGGCACGGTGCCGTTTGCTTTTCCCAGAGTAAAAGACTGAGAGGGCTGGGAAAGCGTGGAGCCCTCAGCAGCACAAGCACTCTGAAGCCAAGTTAGTCTGTCCTGCCTTGGGCTCTGAGCACTGTCCCCTCAGGAAAGTTGGTAAATGGATAGGGCTGTCCAGTTCTATTTCGTTCGCCCCCAAAAGTCCTTAAATCGGGTTTGTGATTAAGATGAAATGATTAGCTAGGAGGCTGCTTGCTCTGTTGTTTTTTTTTTTTCCCCCACGACCTGAAAACAGGGCGCCGTGTATCCCGGGCAGTGGGAGCTTGGGGTTGGGTTTGCAAAGGAGTCCGAGTGCTCAGATGTACGCTGCAAGAAACCCCACGCACCCGTTGAGAAAACTCCAAGGACTCCAGATTTTTAATAATGAACTCAGAGGGCAAATGTAGGAACTTGCCAAGTGCTTAGTATATCCAAGAATGCCTACACTACACCTTCGGTTCGTGGCGCACGCAACGTTTGCTGTACTCTATTCCAGCGCTGCTTGCTGCAGCCGGATCTGCATGTGTCTACCTTAACTGAATTCCCAGGCGTGTGCGGTAGACCTGAGAGAGCTCCCACCTTCCCTACTGCCACTTCCTCCTCCCCCTCACTTTCTCTAGAACTATTTTCCTGAACTCTTGCTTCCCACTGATGAGTATCAAATAAAAAAGGGCCAGGCCACGATAGAAGGCCCTATGGTTTTCCCTCCAAGACGTATTTGCAGGTCTCCGCGAAATGTTACTATACTTAATATTGTAAGACTAGCTTCTAATAATGGGCCCTATGCTTGGCGTTGTACATGATTTATCCTGCTTTTATCTTTGCAATCACCATTATTAGCATCCCCATTTTTTAGACAGAAAACGAGCCCCAGGGAGCCCAGGCAAGTTGCCCATAACCACACAGTTAGTCTCACTACTAAGTCCATGCACTTTTACCATAATACCGCAGTCATTTTAAAAAATAATTTATTTTACTTTTTGTTTGTTGAAAATCTACACAGCAGAACATACACCAATTCAACAATTTCTACATGTACAATTCAGTGACATCGATTACATTCTTTAAGTTCACGCTCCTTTTCTGAATTGTTCCTTCCCATTAACATAAACTCACTGTCCCCTAAGCTTCCTATCTAACCTTTAGAGTTGCTGTTGTCAGTTTGACCCCATATAGATAGTTCTTTAAAAGAGCTGGATGCTCAGGGTAGACATTCTTTATTAATTAAGCCAAATGATTGTTTGGTTTAAAGAAGACTTCAGGGGATATTTCTGGTTTAAGGTTTAAAGCTTAAAGATTATCTCAGGGCAATAGTTTCAGGGGTTCATCCAGCCTCAATGGCTCCAGAAAGTCTGGATTCCATGAGAATTTGAAATTCTGTTCTGTATTATTCCCCTTTTGATCAGAATTCTTTTATAGAATCTTCGATCAAAATATTTAGTAATGGTAGCCAGGCACCCTCCAGTGCTGTCTTAATTCAAAGGCAGGAGTGGAGGAGCAGAAAGGTGTTTTTTGGGAAGAAGGCCATTAAAAACTCATTGCCATCAAGTTGATTCTGACTCATAGTGACCCTATAGGACAGGGTAGAACTCCCCCCATAGGGTTTCCAAGGAGTGGCTGGTGGAATCGAACTGCCGACCTTTTGCTTAGCAGCTGAGCTCTTAACCACTACACCACCAGGGCTCCAAAACTACCATGTGATCCAGCAATTCCACTCTTGAATGCAAGAAGTCTCCTCCTCCTCTTGCACTAGTTCTGGCTTCCTCCCCTCATACCAGGGTTTCAGGTGGGTCTCTCCAAAGCAGAGACTATTGCTTCAGCAGTGGTGGTTTTCTCAGCCTGCCTCTTCACTTTTGCTCAACACTGAGGGAGCAATAACAGGAACAGTGTACAGTGTGCATTGGTTGCTGATCTGGTTCCTCAGAGACCCAGTCAAGAGGGAGAGGTATTGAGGCCCACCCTCATATCAGGGCAGCATTTTTACTTTGGTAGATCCTAGGTAATTGTGCCTTCATGGCCTCTTCCTTGGTTAAAAAAAAAAAGGTTAAAGTTATATTTTACAAATGTGTTGGCATAAAGATGAGTATAATCAGGACTAGACTGTGTTCATTTTTTCTTCTGATTTCAAAAGAAATGAAAACATTTTCATAGGCCCCTGAAAGTATGGTGGGCCCCTGGCACTGTGACTACCGTGCCTAATGGATAAGTCCCTCCTGCCTCAATTTCCCGGAGGATGGTGGGTAGGAAATCAGCTAATAGATGGTTGGCCAACCGTTTCTCTTTCAAAAGATGTCAAGGGATGGCAATCCTACAGACTCTTTCTGACTTTAATCAAGACATTTCCTCCTTAGGCTGGCTCTTGCTGGGTTTTGCAGGCCACCCTCTCTTGTGGCTAAATACCCTGTGAACAATTTTGGCCCGGGATTAACACCTACCCCCCCCGCCAAAAAAAAAAACAAAAAACCCAAACCCATTGCTGTTGAGGTGATTCTGACTCATAGTGACCCTATAGGACAGTGTAGAACTGCCCCATAGAGTTTCCAAGGAGCAGCTGGTGGATTCGAACTACTGACCTTTTGGTTAGTAGCCTGAGCTCTTAGCCAGTTATCACATAAATTATCTATACAGTTTTTAATCATGGTGTGCAGTGGTGTCACTAGGGGTGGTGTCACCCAATGTGGTAACTCATGGTGTCACCCCCCAGGCTAATCACCAGAATATTGTAGCTAGAACACCAGAAAATTTGACAAAATCAGTGACTAAAAACACCAGCATCAACGATAACAACAGCGCGTGCTGGCAGTGCTTGCAGACTGAAACCATGTAATTGGAAGTATCATTATAATTGGGAAATAATGACAGCTCTGACTAAGGGCATTTGAAGTTTCAAAAAGTAAATTAGCATGGAGTTTTAACCTTGTAGGTATATCGATACATGTAAGCTGGGCTTTTGAGAAAATTTCTGGTTGTTATAACTAACTACAGGAATATTTTTATTAAAAATAATAAATTTATGCTGAGACACTGCACAAAAATTTTACAGACAGTCATTTTGGTGTCACCGGTTCTGACAGTGTTACCCAGGGTGGTCTGCACCCCCGCACCACCCTAGTGACACCACTGCTAGGTAGTACGTTGGTAAAGACTCAGATGGTGTGTTTTGTCACAGCTCACATTTCCATGGTTTACTCCAGTGTTTTGTAAACCTCAGTCATTCATGTGTCCCTTTGCAAGTCTTGCCACATCTGGGTACCAGCCATGGTAATATTTACTTAAATTGGTTTACTTTTTGAAAACCTTAAAATACCTAATTGAGCCTCATCCTAGGTAAATATAACCATGAATTCAAGGGCTTGAAGTACCAGATTCATGTGAGGCAAAACATGTCAATAGTTGAGATTAGGGACCCTTCAGCCAGACTGTTGGCATCTAAATCCTGCCTTTGCTTGCCACTTGCTAGCGAGCTAACCTGGTAAGTTGGCTATTCTCTTTGTACCTTGATTTTCTCCTCTGTAAAATGGGAGTAACAATAGTACCTATTTTATAGGGTTGTGAGGATTAATTGAAATGATAACAACAATAGCTAACAGCTAATTTACCTGTGTTTTATTGACTATGCAAAGGCATTCAACTGTGTGGATCATAACAAATTATGGATAACATTGCGAAGAATGGGAATTCTAGAACACTTAATTGTGCTCATGAGGAACCTGTACATAGACCAAGAGGCAGTCGTTTGAACAGAACAAGGGAATACCATGTGGTTTAAAATCAGGAAGGGTGTGCGTCAGGGTTATAGCCTCTCACAATACTTAGTCAATCTGTATGCTGAGCAAATAATCCGAGAAACTGGACTATATGAAGAAGAACGCGGCATCAGGATTGGAGGAAGACTCATTAACAACCTTCGATATGCAGATGACACAACCTTGCTTGCTGAAAGTGAAGAGGACTTGAAGCACTTACTGGTGAAGGTCAAAGGCTACAGCCTTCAATATGGATTACACCTCAACATAAATAAAACAGAAATCCTCACAACTGGACCAATAAGCAACCTCATGATAAACAGAGAAAAGATTGAAATTGTCAAGGATTTCATTTTACTTGGAT